TCTATGACTTAGACACTGTTATTTCGTTTAGTACAGCTTTTCAGACAGTAAATTAACATTTTCATTCCATAAAGTGCAGCAGCACAAATATTAGAGAAAATAAAAGATTGTGTTTTATTAAAAAGTCATGTAATATTTCGCAACTCTAAACACCTTTTACTTAGACTCAGAACATATAATAATAATAATAAAAAATAAATAAAACTTTACTGATGTAACAATGCAGTAATTAACTCTCTGCATTTAACCCATTCCCTTTGGGGAGTAGTTGGCTGCCACTTTGGGGCGCCAGGGGAGCAATCAGGCAGTCTGTGGGAGAGGGTTTTGAACTCACAACCTCAGGATTCCAACCCCTATGCCCTAACCACTAGAAACCAACACCTCCACTCCACCATCAATGGCTGTTTTTGATATGAAAGGTTGCAGACCTTTCATATCCAAAATCGTATTAGGTTAAGATGGATTTTGCAGTATTGTTATATCTAACTGACCTTAAACAGCAAAAATGTTTGATTTAATGTCAGAAATTGAGAAAATTATAGCCTATATTAATTATTTTTTCAAATGTCTTGCTTCCACTGTAAATAAGTTTCTAGCCTAAAAGTTCAGAAAACACAACTTTTCATCCAATGATGTTTAAGAATAAGAAANAGTTGGCTGCCACTTTGGGGCGCCAGGGGAGCAATCAGGCAGTCTGTGGGAGAGGGTTTTGAACTCACAACCTCAGGATTCCAACCCCTATGCCCTAACCACTAGAAACCAACACCTCCACTCCACCATCATTAGCTGTTTTTGATATGAAAGGTTGCAGACCTTTCATATCCAAAATCGTATTAGGTTAAGATGGATTTTGCAGTATTGTTATATCTAACTGACCTTAAACAGCAAAAATGTTTGATTTAATGTCAGAAATTGAGAAAATTATAGCCTATATTAATTATTTTTTCAAATGTCTTGCTTCCACTGTAAATAAGTTTCTAGCCTAAAAGTTCAGAAAACACAACTTTTCATCCAATGATGTTTAAGAATAAGAAATGAAGCAATGATATCTCTTAGCATGGGCTACAATGCCAATTCTAAGGCTTTAGGAGTCCAATATTACCACAGCATTACCACAACCATCGAGACATGGACCAGAGGAAAACCTAAAAAATGTTCTGCCTGGCAAAATAACTCTAAAAGGAAACACTAACGAAAACGCAAAAACCCAGAGCAACACCTGAGGCACTACATGCCTCATTTGCCTCAGTTATAGCTTACGGTTTTATTCGATATTAGGAAAAGAGATTGGGTGAAAGTGCCACCCATGTGAGAAAACCAAAAAGAACACAATGTGCCATCTGATATTTATCAAAAACAACTTGGTGAGCACTAAAAACTCTTGAAAAGTAAGAGGGTACATACTGACAGTCAAACATGGGGGTGGTAGTATGTTGATCTAGGGCTGCATCAGGGCCCTGATGATTTGCTCCTCTTTGTCACTAACCATCAGTTTGTGACTGTAACTCTAATCATACTTGGGATTAAAGCAGGACAATGATTCAGTGCATATCCACAAGCTCCCCTACAAGGTGAGAAATTAAAAAAGGAAAGTTTTGGATTGGCCTAGTCAAAGTCTGGGCTTTAGTATGACTCAGATGCTGAAGTTTGGCTCTTTGTTGATTGTGAGCTTATGCTTGAAAACACTATCTAACCTTTATCATTAAGATAAGGTCTCAAATTAAGCAAATTCTTATACCACTGCTTGTTGTGTTTTAAAACTTGATCCAAATCCAGGGTGTGAACCGGGCAGACATAATTTAATGTCCTTATTTAGTATTTATGACTTTTTTTTAAGAATCTGTGTGAAACATCTTTAACCCAGGAGTCCTTTGATTGGAGGGGACAGTGCCTCAGGCTGACGCCATGCTCGTCTCATGGGTTAGAGAGGGAGGACATGTGATGATCATCCGACCAACCACTGCAGGGTCATCAGGCCACATGAAAAACAGCAAACAAGATGATTTCAGGCTAACTTTTTGTCTGCCGTTTGTTTTCATCAGGTAGGGCTGCAGAGCCTGAGGTGGGTTTCCCTATATTGTGTTTAACTTCAAACCTATTGTCCCTCTTTCACTTATTGTACCAATGAGCTGTCCTTACAACAGATTAAAGTGTAAATGAGCTAATTCATAACACTCAGTTTTAATTTGTTTCTATTATTAAAATATAACAACATTACACGGTCATAGCTCTGTGGCTTATCCATGTTAAGATCAAAATCCAGTGGCTCTATATGCATAGATCTTTTTTCATGTCAATATTTTTTCCATGTCAAAATAACCCATTTTAAAGTTTGAATGCAAACTCTGTTTCTATTAATAGGAGCAGATATTTAAATCAAAATAATTAGCAGCTTATATCTCTCCTGACACCCTCCTTACGGGGTCTAACTTTGCAAACTTTCCCAAATCATGCCATTTTCAACATTCTGCACCTTTTACTCCATCCCAGGTTGAACGAGACGAAGAAATGTGGTTTATTTCATAGGTGAGCGTTGGAGGAAGTGATGGGGAGGGTATGAGCAGGGAGGATTGCAGAGAGTAAGGGTCCCTTTGTATCCGTGTGGAGCTACAGACGAAGCAGTTAGTTGGGTAAAGGCTCCCTAACTCTCCCCTTTCCTCCCTTCCTCCCCCAAACATTCCCATCAATGGCCCTCTTTGTCTTTCCAAAGTATCACACAGCCGATTACAGGGAGGGAATTAGGAGTCAGGCTTAACCCACAGTACAATGAGAAACTAACAAATATGGAAACCAGGAGAAATCTGAAACATGCATCAAGGAATCTGAAACCAACCATTCCTTCTTTAGGCTACTTGATCAAGTTAGGTAGAGGAAATCTTTAAACTGACCCTGATTAACTCAGAGGCAAACCAAGCAGCTCCACACCAGCAGGAGGCCCCCAAGCTAAAGCAGTTAGATTGAAGTTAGACTGAAGACTTTTGAAGACTGATGGGAAAGAACTGGTGTCTACTCTTCTCATGGCTAAGCAGATAATTCGGGGCCCCCATTAGTTAAAACTTACTCTCAGCTGGTCCAGAGAGATGATCAAAAGCCAGGCCAGACTTGATGGAAAAATATGAATTAAATAAATAAGACTCAACGTCACATCCTCACAATTTGCATGGGTGGTTCTAGAAAGGATCCAACTGTTATGGCCCTTCTACTAAAAAACATCACACTAAATCAATGTCTTATGATTAGACTACGGATTAAACTTTAACTGTTTGGCTTCTAGGAAACATTTACCCGAACATTTCCGGTTCACTTTAACAATAATTTAGAAAAGAACGGCTGTCCCCTTAAGCTTCTGTCATATTGGGTGATCATTTCTTGACCCACAGGCAGAATCACACAGGAGTAGATCAAAGTAAGATATTTACCTTGAATTTAAGATATTTAAGGTAAGAATATTCACAAAAGTTTCAACAAGGCGATAGGGCAGTGTTATAGGAGGGTTGGAGTTTTTGCATCTTTTCCAGATCTTCTACAGAGGAGAGAGGCTGATTAACAAAGCTGGCCAGAAAACAGATGAGATGATGGGTTACTTGGTGAGATCTTGGGGTTGTTAGGTCCCAGGTTTGTTTTCAAGAAGGTCCAGGATTCAAGAGAGTCAGATTGATATCCAGGAGAGATGATTTGTTGAAGTGAGCAACAGGCTGGAGAGCAGGCAGCGCTGGTGAAGTGGCTCATGAGAGCATAAAACTGCAAACAGCAGTGGACTGGTACCCCCCCTTGGGTAGGTCGGAAAGGATATGTGAAAGCTCTGGTTGGTCATCATCCTGCAAAGATATGATGCTCCTACAGCCCTCATAAGCACTAATCAGCCTGACGAGAAGACTGGATCCAGGTGTTCAGCAGCACAGAGCTTGAGAAGCTCTCTAACAGAGATATTTTCTTAAATTCCCACTACTACACAATAAGAAGCCACCAAAAACAGGAGAGACAAACGCAGATCTGATTAGACTTAAATTAATCTCAATTGAGACAGTTGGCTTTTTTGTAATATTAATGGCTTCAGTCTGGAGAACATGTTTATTATCCAATACAGGTCATAAAGTTAATATACAGACTGAGATTGATACAGTTTTTGTTAGTATTTATGTTTGCTTTCATCGTGATTTAATTATTTGTTTATGTTGTATTTCTATATGAAAGAGGCACCGAGGAGCTCAGAAGTTCCAAAAATGTATTACTTAATACAATCTCTAATAAAAAAAATAACATTTTTATTTTTTTTTTATGTATCATAAAATGTACATTATTATGTATCCAATATAACAGGTTAGGGTTTATCCCTCCAAACCCACCCATTGGCATCCTCTACATTAGGCAGGAGTCGCTTTAACCCAGGTTTTAGTTGAAAATCCATAACCTTTGATAGCGGAAATAAAAAGGGTTTGGTGATTTTTAAGACAGCAGTTTTTAACACTATAGTGTTTGGCCATTTTATTTACTTGCATTTATAACCCATAATTGAAAGCACAGATTAAATATAGGGCTATGTAGGGATTGCAGAGTCATGTTTGAAGGTCTGCTGTCTACATTCCAGGTAATGCATTTGGACGTATGTCAAGCAACTGTCCAAAGTCATGACACTTGAGCACAAAGTCCCATTAATTAGGTGCTTAAGTTGCAGAAAAGAGAATAAAAGTCTATTATTCTATCACAAGCACTGAAAATGGACACATTTAATAAGTTTTGATGTAGATTTGCAAATATATACCTTGAAAAATAAAAGTATAAATAAATATTTAATAATAATTGAGTTTTTTGATTTACGTAAATCTTCAGATTCTCTTATACTTTTTTTCTTTTTTGTATGCAACTATGATATTATGAAGCTGTGGTGTTCTTTACTCAAAAGATGAATCACATTGGTTCAGTTTTATTTTTCTTAATTTTCAGTCAGCCTAACAGATTAAATCTTATCACTAGAATAACCAAAGAGGCAGCATCATATCCAAGCAGACAAATCATTTTATTTAAAGAAAAAGAAAAAAAGAGCACATATAATTTTCATATTTTAAGGCTTTGAGCTCATGTTTTTATGTGGTTTAGTCATAATCTGCTGGTCAAAAACATCAACTCTGTGTCAGTTATATGGGTTTATAATAAAAGGAAATGGCAGTGCAAAATAATATAAAATACACTTAAATAAGAAACGAAACACTAAGAGCCGACCTGTGAAGGTAAATGTTCAAATTACAAGAAAAAGCAGTGACAGAAAGTGAAAGCCATAAATTTAAACATGTTTCAAATCATTATACATTTTACACAAGACAGCAAAAAATATTTTTGTATATTTCACCTTTGCTTAAGGTTAATCAAAGCTTTAGAGAAGCTGATATATCAAAGTGATATTAGTTATGAAAATAAAGAGACATAAAAGTTATCAATAAAAAAAAGCAAATGACCAAGAAGGTGTTGCTCTTCTGTATGAATCGTTAGTACGCATTAATAAGGAAAAGGCACATTCTTTCAGTTAATATCGAACTGCATTAAAACACTTCACATGTGGCAGCTAGCTGTTGGACTCTCAAACACTGAATACTGAACTTTTCCAAAGAGAGAAACAACAGTGAAGTCTTCCAGTGTAGTTAGTGATGGCAGATGTATATATATAAAACAAAGTATTAATAGCAAATACAATGAAATGTGTTCTCTGTGGCACATTATTTTTACCACGAACAATAAAAAGAATAAATTGATCATGAATGTTAAAAAAAAAGCTCATAAATTTTCATACTTATCAGTGCTAATGTAAAAGAAAAGAGGCAAACGTAGATTTTGACACAAACATTTCCAAAGTAAAGCTAAACCTAAAAAAAAAAAAGGTCTACTTAAGTACAGAATGTCAGGTAGTTTGGGATGTCACGTTGGGAGAAACATCTATGAAAGTTTCTGTTTCTTCTATAGAAAACATCAAAAGTTTTGGTTGTAAAACTTTGGTCATCTTACAAAAAGTTTGCATCTGCAGGCATAAATATTTAGCAGGTGCCTTCGTCGCCTATCTCGAAGACGGCGCACAGTTCAGTGAAAACATGCGACGCACTTTGCTTAACTGGTGTCTGTTTGCTTTGTTTACAACGAGGCGTCGGATGAACACATGCAAATGTGTAAACTGAAAATAATGCTGTTTTAATATTGCGGGAGATTAGAGATCAGTCCTGAGTTAGAATGGAAAACCCCGATGTGTGGCATTTGATGCATTTCTTTCAAACAGAATTTGGCTTGCTTTTAGTTAGACCCCTCACAACCCCTTACAACACAAGGCCTGGCTGTGGAAAAGGCTTGTAAAAGCTGATGTACCATCTGTAATGCACAGGAAGTCTTCACACTAATGGGGATTTAAGCTTTTCTCCCCCTTATAAATGTTTAGTTGTGATGTTTTGAGGGTCTCAAGCTCTGCTGCAGTGCTGTTGAATAGTTGTTTTTCTTTGTATCGCCATGGTATTACTCTCCCAGACTCCTACAACGAGTGCTGTCAGTAAATAAAACGCGATTCAAAAGCCCAACGCTTGATACTCAATCATGCGCTGTGACGGCATTCTCTGCATCTGGCTGGGATCAGAAGGTGTGACCCGTTCTGCCTCCCCAGCCAACTCCCCCAGTGCCAGCCCAATCCCCCCAGACCAGAGCACTTCTATCTCTGACGTGACCAACAGAGCTGCTGTTGGTGCCGCCGCCTCTCCTGCTTTGGTCTGACACCGGGGCTGAACCTGCACCGGTTCTTTCTGGGTTCACTATCTGTCATGGCCGCGACAATGTGGTGTAGACGGGCTGTTCCCAGTGAGTCGGGCTGTGCGACTGCGAGGCACTGGATGGGTCAGTGATGGCTGTGTAGAGGGGCCTCTGGGAGGGTCCCATGTAAGAAAAGGCAGAGTACAACCCTGACGCCTGGCCCGAGTGGCCATAGTATGTCCCTGAGGGCTGGTGGTCGGCATATTCTGCAAACTGAGCCCTCGAGGCCAAAGAGGGGAATGCGGAGCTGTAGTGGGGAAGGCTGAGCGTCGTGTAGGTGACATGGGCACCTGGTGAGGCTGCGTCAGCAAAATGAGCCCCAGGACCCCCCGCCTCACTCTTGATCTGCGCCTTGGATGGATCCGAACCCATTGAGGAGCCGTGGTGTTGCTGCTGCTGTTGCTGCTTTGAAAGCCAGGCTGCTGAGTGTCCACTGGCTGCAGCCAAAGCCGTCGAGATGCCGTAGGCATAGGAAGAGGCCTGAGAAGCCGCGGCAGCACCTCCTGCTGCAGCAATCTGCCCAGCCCCTGGATGCCCGTTAGGGGGAAGGTACTGATCAAACTCATTGACATCAAATGGCTCCATGTTGGCCATCACCTCATGGCTTATCTCACCAATGTCCACATTGCCAAAGTCGATATGAGGTTTGCCAGATCCTGAAGCACCTTCTGCTCCCATGGGGCCACGGGTGCTGCCATTCCCAGCTCCCTCTCTCTTGAGTTCAGTCTTGGGAGTGGTGGGAGGTGTGGGAGGACTGTGACTCTGACCTATAAAGACACAGAGTGATTATTAGCCCTCTTTTGTCTCACAGGTAAGAAAATTTTACCTAAAGCTGTACCATCATTTGTATTTGCAATTCTTATAGATCTAACATTGTGACAGTGATAGTATCTAAGGGGTTTCAGCAGGAGGGAGCCTTCAGCCCACCTGCAGCATGAGGGGGGTGCCCATCAGCCAGAGGGGACGCGGCTCCCCCGCTGTGGGCCACTTCCAGTTGGAGGCCCTTATAGTGGGACTGGCTGTGGGTGACCTCACCCTCCAAATGGCCATCGCCCTCACTTCCTGACCCGGAGCCGAGCTTTCCGTTTTTGCGGCGTCTGGGCTGGTATTTGTAGTCCGGGTAATCCTTCTTGTGCTGCTTCCTCAGCCTCTCAGCCTCTTCAATGAAGGGCCGCTTGTCGCTCTCATTGAGGAGCCTTGGAGGGAAAGGACAGATTTTAGTAGATCAATTTGATTTACAGGAAGCTTAAAAAGCTCAAAGAAATGCAACCAATCCTAGATGAGACATAATTATTTACTGTTAAGTAGGATATATGCCGGATATAAGTAATGATTGAAATAATCTGTCATTATGTTTTTATAATATCATTGAATCTAAAACAAGTCATTTTGATTTCATGTTTTACACAAAGCCTTTGTACTCAGCTGACCAGATTAAACACAGAACCCTTCATATTCCCTCTAGCTTCTCTATCAGTGCTGAAACAAGGCATTCCCACAGCATACTGCTGCCACCACTATGTTTGTCAGTAGGGATAAAAAAGTACATCGCACTTTTTCAATCTAATCCTAAAATAAACAAAATGAAACGCATGCCTCCTTTACAATTATAAACTACTTTGCCTTCTCTGATAGAAAGAATCATTGTTACAAGGCACTGTAAAATATGGAGAACAAATTAATAAAAATATGATCCTCTGATGTTTTTTTTTAGGTTTTAACAAACCATATTTGTGTCAGTGTCGCCTCTGGTTCCTCAGAAATCTTCATTTGATAAAAGTCCACAGCTGATAGATATGCCTGCTAGGGGGGTTATTCAGTAATGAAATAAAAAGGCCAGGGTTGCATCCTGTTTAGGATCATGGAACTGAACTCCTACAATTACTGCTGCTGGCAGGGATGGCATGAGAAAGCCCCGACCTTCCTTAGCCTCCCTGTTCATCGTGTTTCAGGGCCAATTAACTGATCCTGCCTGAACCCAGGGTCAGGTCTTTATCAGATTTATATTTTATCCAATCAAGTTAAACTCCCTTTACTAAGCCTCTTGACTTTAATTGGGAAGTATTGTTTTTCACACATAACTGTCCAAATTTAAACTTTAGATCTGAGTTTTCATGAAAGAAGATCTAAACTTGTTCGCAGTTAATGCAATGATTTAGAATAAGACTTCTGGTGATGTATAATCGTTAAATTCAATTCATACCATCTGAAATGAATGATGTAGTATAAAATGTTAAGAAAATATCTTGACTGAAGAAAATCCCTCAGTAATGTTTAGTCATAATCATGTGATCATGAGACACTCACGAAAACAAAATATGCACAATAGGTTGGTTGTGACCAAATAAAGGTAAGCATCATGCAGGACGAGGAGTCTCCCTAAGTTATTTTTAATATTAATTGCTAGATAAAAGTAAATTTTGAACCGCTTCCACATGATGTCATCTCACTATGCTCCAACAACAAACATTTGAAGCCTCTCTGTGAGCAAAGGGTTGACCAACCTTTTCCTGATAACTGTTGAATGCAAATACATATTTCGATTTGAACACAGCACATAACCATTTTAATATGTATTTGGATTAGTTGTTGCATTTTTACCATTTTTAGCACCAAAGAGAGTCTGTAAGTTCCTAGAACCTCAGCTGTTTGCCTTCTGAAACCTGCAGGTGCTATACTGGAATCTTAATTTAAATTTGTAGGAACTTACCAAATGCATTAATCAGTACCTCTGAAAGACTAAATAAAAAAAATAAAAAACTTATAAGCTCATGATTACAACTGAAGAGGTCTTTAGCTTTAAAAAGCTTTTTATTCCAAGAATCTCCTTGTTGTTCCTCGTGTGAAACCTAAAGCTAAGCTTTCCAGTTTGATAATCCTCTACTTCTAGACAGTTTCTCTATTTGGATACTATGGACATTTTTAAAGACCAACAAAAAAACAACCAAACAAAAAAAAAACAAAAACATTGTTTTATCAGGCATATCTGTGCAGATGTAATTGTTCATTTTTATGCTCTTTATTAAAAATAAAACTGAAATGTTCACATTAACAGGATAGAACATGAAACAGTTGTGTTAAAGTAAATAAATATACATTGATGCAAAAGATTTGGGAATTATTATGTTCAATGTCCTGTGTGTGAAAGGCAGGTTAAATATTTAAATTATTCTTACTTATCTTAAGGGCTGAAAAGTTCTGGGATGTGACCTCTGACTCTACAGAAAGTATTTCTTAGTCTAAGTGATTGTCAAGACATCTCCAGAGGGGTCTGCAACCTCTTTTGCCACTGTTGCTACAAAAAGAAATTTTTCAAGAGCTATAATAAAAATATTATAAATTTTAAAATTGAACCAAAATTTTTTATTTTCCCATTTTTAAAGAAAACCCATAAATCATTTACTCTTAGTTATAGAAAAAAGGAATCATTGATATGTTAGAATGAGGCAAAATAAGTGATCCACCAAAAATATGAAAAATGAAGCCTCCCTAAAATAGGAAAGTACACTAAAGCTAAAAAAAATATACAGAAGAATCCCTTCTTATAGCCTTAATTCCTAAACTAATTTCTTATTTGGTGTTGTTACATTGAAGGGGCCAAAGAGACACATGTGGCTCTGGAGCCACAGGTTGTAGATCCCTGGTAAAGGGGTTGAGATGAGGCAAGTTCCCTTGCAGCACATAAAACATCTAAAGGAAAAGGATGTGGTGCATTTATTAAAGCTGCATTTAGATTGTTGTTTAATCTATACACTATATATGTTTTTGTACAATATGCTTTGTTTTCTTTAACTGGTGTTTTGTATAATGGCCTGCTCAGCACTTTCCTGCACATTTAATCCAATTATTGTCTATTTAGTTTTGGTTCCTGTTCAACAATCAAGTTTTCTTAGCTCTGATGTTGTCTCTCCATTCTGTAAGTATTCTGAATGTAAGCATCAGCTCAGTGATCAGCGGCCCCCATTGGGCCCCTAACCACTGGGCATCAGCTCACTGATCAGCGGCCCCCACTGGGCCCCTCACCTCCACAGTTTCCCCAGGGTCTTGCTCAGCTCCGCGTTGTGCAGATGGGGATGCTGGTCGGCCAGTTTCCTCCTCGCCGCCTGCGCCCACACCATGAAGGCGTTCATTGGCCTCTTCACGTGCGACTTGCTCTTGCTTCCTGCGCTCACGCGCACGGGCATCGGCACGATGGTCCAGTCGTAACAGTTGAGCACCTGACTCACCGCCTCGCGGATGCCGGCGGGGAAGCGCTCGTCCTCGTCGTCGGACTTGACGGACGAGCAGCCCGCAGAGGCGTCATCCAGAGCCGCAAGCTGCGGCTGCTGCCCGCCGAGAGGCGAATCGAGTCCACCTGCCGCCCCGGAGGAATGACCCGGGGACAGGGAGCGACTGTCATCCGACAAGCCGGGACTGAGCTCCACTTCTGAAAAGCTCTGCTCCTCTCTCGCCATCTTCTTTGCCCCCCTTTCTCTCTCTCTCTTTCTCTCTTTCTCTCTTATACTCTTATACTCCTCTAGAGGACCTTAACCTTCCTGAAAGCTCAGTTCTACCTGTCGGGCTCCTGCTCCTGTTTAACTTGGACTGACGCACCGATTGGCAGCACTGCGTTCTGTCTCTTTTTCCTCCTCTGAAGTTATAATATAAACTGCCAGTCTGTCTCTACTCTGAGCCTCCGTTGCAAAACTCTGTGAGGGTTCCACATTAAAGTTCTTTCCATCCGTGTTGTTGGTATCATAGGCGGCTCAGTGCGCACCTTGGACCCCAGTTTACCTGCTAATGGACAGCGGTCTGTGCCAAACTCACCCAGCCTCACTTCCTTCCTCACTTCTCTCTCTCCTGCGTGTGTCCTGTGGTTGAAATCCAACAGCGAGGACCTGGAACAGCAAATGTTTTGGTATATGGCATGAATTCAGCAAACCCTGCTTCCTTGTTTTATTTATTTCATTTTTTCAAAATAAAATTCAACCAACTATGAATCAGGTTGATTTTAAATTGTGTCATAATGGTATGTTCACCTAGACAGGGGCGCTTCCACAAAGTGTAGTTAAGGGCAGACTTCTGGGGGTCATTGTTAATCTTGGGGTGAAACGCATGAAAACTGCAAACACACATTTATATATGTATATATATATATATTTTTTTTTTTATTTACTGTCATATCCAGTGCTCATTGTGCAGTTCAAACAGGTTTCTACGAAAAGCTAATAAATGGCAAAGATATATTTAAAAAATATAAATGCATTAAGTAAATAAACAGTGTGGCTCTTTAACCTGTGCTTTACATTCGTTAAATTCATAATGCATATAAGCAAACTTATAGGGATGATCATGGCACCAGTACAAATGAAGATGAAGTTGAGATGACAAAATACATTAGTCCTTTAATTATTGCAAACCCTTAGATGGGTAGATGCGCCACCAAGTGGATGAACTGGTTTTCTCTGAAATTGCAATTTGTAATTTTATGATTTCAAATAATTATTTCATTGACTGAATTTCCAGTAAATGATTTGTTTAGTCTTTGTTTATTTATTCTTATTCTTCTTCTTTTTTTTACCAATCAGACCCTGCCACCATCTTTTCACCAAACTCTGTATTCTTGATTATAGCAGCTAAGAAGATTTTCAGGACTATTTCACAACTTATTTCACTTGGAAAAAGATGAAATAAAAAAAAAAAATAATGGTATACTTCTGCTCCCATGTATAACTTGTCATATTGTTTTGTGAAACGTTTTAAATAAACTTAAATGAAAGTTGACCCTAAAGAAAAAAAAAAGGAAAATATTGTTTTTTTCTTTCTAAATCTGGAGCTTTTTTTTTTTTTTTTAAGTTTCGTGTAGGATTAGTACTTTCAGCAGCACAGAGCTCGGATTTCTGCTCTGGTGCATAATAGTTGGCGAGGTGATGGAAACATTAACCTTGAGTGCGCGCGTTTCCTTTACGCTTGCGCAAGCGAGACACTGCGTATTTGTAAAACTGGAAGAAAGTCTACCAGCACTTAAAAAAAAAATACATCAATTTACCCCTCCCTTAAAATTAACCTTCGTAAAGGCGAACTTTTGTGCACAACAAAGAGGCTGTTGAACTACACAGTTATGGACGCTTGCAAACACAATTTCGTGCTGATTGGATTTCTAAATAGATACCTTCAGGAATTGATAACAGTAGCCTAATTAATGGGTGCCGATGGTATTCATTCCTATAAAAAAAGGTGAAAGAAGCTCAACCACCTGTCCATTTTAAATATTCGCTAACCACCTGGTCTGCAAGTCCCAATTTGCAGGCTGTCATTGGGTCCCAAGAGATTTCAATGCTGTGCGTAAAAGGAAAAACAAATTCTCAGCATTTTGCTTCGCTGGTGACGCTTATGCAAATAATAAAAAATAAACGACTTTACAATTTAGATTGTCTAAACTGCTTTCAAAAAATAAAGAAATTGAACTTGTTGGTTATATTGTAGAGTATCATAAGCACATTTTCCGGGCATAAGGAATTCGGGCGATGGGATGTCATTATCACCGCCTGACTGGCCAATAAGTTGGCCTTAATTTGCTTGCTCCAAAACTTTTGTTGTTGTTGTTATTCATTTTAGTCTGTAAGGCTAGTCAAAACCCATCGAGCAGAAACATTAAATTTAAAGTATAAAAGAGAGTTTAAAAGTGCGCAAAATAGAGTTTCAGCAGTTGGACACCATAAAAAAACCCATTTTGGTCAACGTTGCAATAAAAACACATCAGAGAATCAATGTGAAACAGAAGCACTTATTCCACAAATTAAAGTAATAATCTAACAATAATGCATCAAATAATAAAAGCTTTTTGGAGCAAGATGTTGATAAAAACACCTGGAAGACCAAAACCTCAAAGCCAAAAAATAAATAAATTATAAATACAATAACCCTGCATCTCTTTATCAGTAATCAAATCATAACGTTACATTTCTGCTCTGGAGTTAGGGTTTTGAAGAAGAGAAATGATCAAATCTCGGAGCCAGGGCAGCCACCATCAGCAGAGAGCAAAAGGTTTGAAATGCTAAGCGCCTTACTTCGGGAATGAGAAAAGGAGGTCGCCGGTTTTGCACGAGAATCCGTGAGTTCCCGAGTTTCCAAAGTGAAGCTCGCTCCCCAGCCCCCTCGTTCGCAGCCCGAGAATGAATGCTGGCTCTGTGTGTCTGTGCCAGGGCTTAAAGAGCCCCTTGTGCGAGGACAGGAGCAAAAA